TGCTGTGTAGACTTTCAATGGAGTTTTTAATCTCCTGGAAATCTGTTTGTATCTGTTTTATGGATTCCATTTTTTTCCTATGTTGGGATTCCATCATGTTCCTCAGCCCCTCTCTAGATATATTAATCATGTTTTGTACTATGGGCTCAATGTCTGCTGTTATCTGAGAAATTATTTCTGATTTCATTTTTTCCAGATCCTCTTTTGTTGCCAGTTCAGTGAGTCCAGGTGGTTTAGTATCAGAGTGTTCCATCTCATTTTCCTTTGAGTTGCTGTGGGTGATCTGGAAGTCTGGTTTTGAGGCTTGCGTACATGTCTTCCTATTTTGATGGAGTGTGGGGTGTGCTCCTGGCACCCTCATGGCTCACTCCCTCTGTGCAAGGAGCCATGGTACATTAGCCTGGAAGCCTCCTCCTCTGCACTGAGAGTGGTGGCACATCAACCTGGAAGCTTCCTTCTCTGTGCTGGGAGTGGTGGTATGTTTGCCCCTCTCCTCCATTCTTTATAAGAGGCTAAATCTTCTTTTAAGAGAAAGCTGTCTTCCTGAAGTACCTTAGCTATGCTGTTTACAGTATTCATAAAAAATTTTTATCTGTTCATTCAAAATAAGTTACATATTTTATGAGGACATAACCTCATTAAAGTTTTTCATGAACTAGCAGCCCTTTCCACCACCCACCTTTCAGCCTTTGACTTTCTTCATTAATCTTGTTTCCTGATACAATCTCTCCAGCCTCCCACCTACCCCCTCAGTTCATATGTGGGTTACACTCCCATCACTAAGGAAGTGGGATTTCACCTCCATAGTCAGAGCTCCTTTTAATATCTGCTGTGAGCTATGGACTTTACCCCAGGGTGGTGGCAGACAAGGCACACCTACAGACATATTCCTAAAATGTTGCAAACACAAAACCCTGGGACCCTACACTGGGATGGGCAATCATTTGTGCTTTTGCTTCAGATGTTAACACCCGAGAGACTGCACCTTAGAACTGGTCCTTGGCAGTTCCCCTTCCCTGCCCTTCTCCCTCATGTTTCCTCACAAACTGTGTGGTCACAGAGACAATAGTGTCTATGAGGACAAAGATGATGATTTGAAAAAGGCAAAACCTGATTTTAGACCTGAAAAGGAACATTGCCTTTGGGAAACTGGGCCTTAATTTATATGTATATAATGATGCTGTGTTCCTCTCTTCTACCTTAAATTGTCTGTATTAATCTGTATTAAAATTTAGCTTTTATATTCTCTCAGTTTTTTAAGTTGCATAGTTTAAAAAAAGATGATGAGAACAGTGGTGATGAGGATTGCTTCCTTTTATTGAGCTGATGTGTCAGGCAAAATTTATAATTTTGTTTAGTTAAATTCTACTCACTCTCCATAGCTCAGAAGAAGCAACGTAACACAGTAATAAGAGCAGGAGTCTGGCGCCAGACTGCTTGCCTCTGAATCCTGGCTGTGCCACATGTTATCTGTGTAACTTGAGGGCAAATTTCTTAACCTCTCTGTGCCTATGTCATCACCTGTAAAGTGAGAAAGATAAAAGTATACTAACTTCAGAAGCTTCTTTACAAAATCCACTTGGCTAGTAGATAAAAGCATAAAATTTAATACATGTTCAATAAAAGGTAGCTGTTTATTCAACCCAGAACTATATCGTCCATCAAGACTTCCTGAAGAACTCCAGGTTTACAATATAATTATCTCTTGATATCTCCAGTTACTGTACAAGTACTTCAGAGTTGATATGCTCAGACCCTAAACATGCTACTTTTCCCACAAAACCTGCTTCTTCACTTGTGCGCTCCATCTCATTGAATGAGGAAACCACATATTCAGTCACATAAGACCCAAATGGGTATACATTTCCAGGTGAAGTTTCTAAAACATGAAAATGATGTGTCCTTTCTATTCTTCAATGGAAATTCTTCAGGAACATCCCATTACTTAGGATGCCTGCTGATCTGGCTCCATCACTTCTCAGTAGCCTTGTCTCTCTCTCAGTGCAGACCCTCTGCTCACACCCATATGTACACCAAGCACTTTACACTCCAATCCATAACCTCCCTACCCTCTCTGTCTAGATTACCAAAGCTTCTTCAAGTAGCACCTCCTACTGAGCCTTCCCAGGGCCCTCAGATTCAATTGACTGCTTCTTCAATTACCTAGAACACGGTCCTAGTGCTATCCTCAGAACTAAAAGAACCTTTTTTTGTACTTATTTAATATAAGCCTGTCTCTTTTTTTTTTTTTTTTTTTGGTGCTGGTGATTGACCTCAGGTCCTTGTGCTTGCACAGCAGGCAGCAAAACCACTGAGCTAAATCCCTGGCCCTATAAGCCTGTCTCTTAATGGTTTCTCAGAGGTAGAAAACCAGTAAAGTGCTTGGATTATATTTCATTACCAATAAATTTTGAATGAATATTCATTTATGATATAATAAAGTAAAGAAAGCTTAACTTGTCCCAGTGACTCCACCAGACTCAGAGTTAGTGCTTGCAGATTTAGCCCATGAATCTTTCCTATAACAAGGGAAAGGTGGTTCAGCACAGTAGCTAAACCTACAGCTTCCTAGGCCAGACCTCGAGGGATCAAACATCACTTTGCACTTTTCTACAGTGGATCATGAACAAGTCACTTACCTTCTTTATATCTCATTTTACAAATCTTAAAAATAGGGAGAAACTGTACTTATTTTAGATGAATGTTAAGAAAATTGAGGTAGACAATCTGTACAAAATATTTAGCCTATTCCCTGGCACATCCCAAGTTCTCAATAAATGTTAGCCATCACTATAACAGTTTTTTAAAAAGTTATATGAAAACATTATAGCCTATAACTATGATTTTCAAAAATTGTGTGATACCCAGTGAATTAAACAGTTGCTTATCCTATCACCCAAAATTAGCCAACATAGAACAAATCTTACAAGTTTCTTTCTATTTGTCTTTTAAATGTCAATAGACAGTTACATTACCTGGCAAAGAAGTGCTCTGGGTCAGTTTCTCTTTCTTGACACATATGTTCAATGTGAATAAATTTTGCTTCTGTTAGAGATACATTCTTTGGTCTGTCATCTTTATTCAAGTTAATTATGCAGTCTTCACGTTCTGGTATTTTCTTTTCACAGCACTGTTTGATTTTGCTGGAGATGGAATCTTGTTTTGAAAAAATATGTCTCATAACCTTGCTCTGTACCAAATAAGAATGAGAAATGACTTTATTTCCAAAATTTCTTCAGGGATGCATTTCCCTCATAATGGAATGGTTGTGAGCAAAGGCATTCACAAACATGACATCTGAAATAACCTCATCTGCTAATTTGATGAATGATATTGATTTAAATTTTGTGTTCATGTAACACACATGAAGTTTCACATCAACACAAGCTTTTTCTCAAGACACAAAATAATTATAAAAAATAAGCTCTATCATAAATTCATATTTATTAAGTATTAAACTTTTAAATACTTTACCCCTACTACTCTGATATATTGGCATCTTATGTTCCAAATGTTACTGCTTTGCCAAAAAAATTCACCTGTGCTTTCAATGGTGATCATCAGAGACAAGTCAGTGTAGTATTATAGACTTGCTCTTAATATGTGGGCTGAAACTCAAACATATAGCAAAAATCCAATAAACATTTGATAAATGAATGAAAGAATGGAGAGCAAAGAAACCACTACAGCAACTACCATATAAATCTTCTCAAATATAGGAAGCTCTTCTACTCATGGTATCATTTTCCTGTGGATATTATGAATTTGAGTTTCTTCAAATGTGCAAAATAGAAAATTTTGCACTGTCCTCTGTCTCTATCCTTCCTCTTGATTCAGACTCCTACATAAAGTTTAAAAATTAGGGAGCAGTTGAAATTACCTTATTTACAGACCAGCTGGGTGATTTTTAAAAGCTGATCAGATCCCTTGTCCCCTTTCCAAATTTTCCAGAATGCATGTTCTTTCTACTGTGTCCCAGCCCTCATTGACCTCCCTGACTGTACTCAAGCTGCACACACTGGAATTTTCTGTTGATATCAGAGGTGAGGAATGGGACAAAGCTCGGTGCCAAGTTGAGAAACAGAATGGGGGTTGGTATCATGTTTCCAACCAGCCACGCAGAGCCAGTCTGCAAACATTCACAGTTCACCTGGGCTTATTGCTGTTCTAGGCAGAGTCTATCTTGAACTCTCTGAAAATTCACTTCTATTTTCAGTTAGACACTAAGAAATTTGAAATATAATATGATCCCTTAATCTCACCACTGAATTTCACAGAAAATTACAAGTATATCTTAATTTCACAATTAGATTTAACATTATAAAATGCACATTTCCAAAAAAATAAAACACTACAGAAATAAATCATGAGTAAGTTTCCTTTAGCTGGGGTATAATTAGGAATAAAATAATTCTTTGACATTTGTGGTCTACTGCTTGAAATAAAACAAGCATATCTCAATACCCTAAAATTCAAATTATTTAATTAACATGCTATCTTTATACTGTCTAAAACAGTTAAACTGATTAAAAATCACTAAGATAAACCCTAATTTCAACTAAGAAAAACTCAGGATTTTCTAAATTGCATTATCTTTGAGTGCATGAACAATTTAAATTATGCAACGTTATGTTCACTAGTATATTCCTGTAGAGAATTGCTTCAGGTACTAGAGGCCAGGGGATGGGACACTAGGTAGAAGTTGGTCTAAGGACACAAAATTTCAGATTGACAAGAGGAATAAGTTCAAGAGATCAGCTGTACATCATGATGACCTAGCTATTATCAATACTATATACTTCAAAAATTCTGTGAAAGTAGATTTAAATACAGGGTTCCCCCCACAAAAATTATAAGTACATAAAGAAGTGCATATGTTAAACAGCTTGATTTGCAACTCCATAATGTATACATACATCAAAATATCAGGCTGAGTACTATAAATATGGACAATTTTCATTTTACAATTTGAAAAAAAAGATACAAAGAAAGCAACATTATTTGAAATTATTTGGTAAACTGTACCTAAAAAATCCTGATGAAGTAAGGAAAAGCAGCTCTTGAAAGGAAGGAAAGGGCAACAAAAAAAAGAATAGAAAGAAAAATAGGAAACAAAGTTTTTGTAAATAAGAAGAGGAAGAAAGGTTGAAGGCGGGGAATGAGGAAAAAAAAGCAGCCAGATATATCATGTACAGGTACAAATTCCCTATGATGAATGTTATCATTATGTATAACTAAAATGTGCCAATAAATGTCTTCCAAAAAAAATAAAAGTAAAAGTGACTCACCAAACAAACAAAACCCCATAATGATAAGAAGTCATTCCCTGTGCTTTTCTACTATGTTCTAACATCTCTATAAAAGGAAGCTTCAATCTGGAATAAATAAATTTTCAAAAATTATAAATTCATAAATTTTATGTTAAGATATTTAGTCAGAAAATACAGTCTGTTGATAATAATCTCATGTTTTCAAAAAGTGTTTAGGGGAGGTTATTTATTAAAATGTTACTTTTATTCTATGTTATTTTTTAACATTAACACTCTGATTTCATTATAACAAAGTAATCACACATTAGGGCAACTCCAGAGTAAAAAATAGTTGCCCTCAACAAAAAAACAAACCTCTAAAATTTATGTGGAAGCAAGAAAGACCCAGAATAGCCAAAGCAATCATGAGCAAAGAAGTAAAGCTGGAGCCATGACAATACCCGACCTAGACACACTACAGAGCTGTAAAACCCAAACACCATGGACCAGCATAAACAAGCAAAAAGGGCAAACAGAGCAGTGGAACAAAACATAAACCCCAGAAGTAAACCCATACATTTTGTTTTGTTTTGTTTTCTTTTTAGTTCTTTTATTGGTACATTTTAGTTATACAATTCACTTACATTTATCATTGGGTGTTTGTACCTGTACATGATATATCTTGGTTCTTATTTTTTTCCCCATTACCTGTGCCCCCTTCACTCCCTCCACCCTTTCTTATTTATATAGATTTCATTTCCATTTTTTTTTCTCATACTTTGTCCTTTCCCTCTTTTCCTTTCCCATTCCCCTTAGTAAACATTTTAAATTTCTTCCATTTTTTAAAATGTCTCTATTAGAAAAGTACCTTTATACTGAAAGAATGTCTTCCAAAACTACAAAAAATACTTTCCACTGAAAAAATAAGAGCTGTTTATGACATTTTACATTCAAAAATAAAAGAAATCAACTATGTGCTAATCTTACGACAACTGGTATTATACTGTATCTTTATTTTTTTTTCATCTCCTATTTTAGTTCTTGGTCAATTCTTCTTTTTTTTTTGTATTAAATTCTTTTATTGGTACATTGTAGGTATACAACACAATTACATTTCTCATTGGGAATTGTACCTTTACATAAT